CTTCTATTACAGATTGATAAAGAGTGCTCTTATTTCACAATAAAGAACGAATTCTTTATCAAAAGGTAATCAAGAGCTATCACCTAGAGGGTATCCTACGACACACTTAGGCTCAAGCTGTAAGAGAAAATCCTATGCTATTCTGTGACGAGGGGGCCAAAAACATTATATTAGTAAATTATGCAATAAAAGTTTCAAATATAAATTATATAAAATTATAGTATCGGTAACTCTTACCATTGTCATAACATACATTATTTTTTGACATTTTGCTGTTTTATTTTCTACTAACATACCAGAGCTTTTCCCTCGACGTTTTACCACGTTTTACTTCTCTAGTAAATTTGTGTATCCTTACGTTTAAAAAGTGTATTTGTAATGCAAGGGGTTATTGGAAAAAGCGACAAGCTACAGATCATTATATTAAGAAAACGAGCTTTAAAGATTCAAAAAACTATATCAAATGAATATTTTACATAGTTGAACGATGAACAGATGAACTAAATCATGTTTTAACGTCTTTGCTTGTGAGGTGTGGCTTGTCACAGTTTTCCAAATAGGCCCTTCAGATCTAGTGTTAATTTGTAATTGCTACTCACGTTTTCATAATTTTAACATTAAAATGATTGGTTGGTTAACATTAGAATGATTTCCTTTTTTAGCGCGATTCGTCATTGGACTCTGGCATTCTTACCAAAAGGAAAACAAGTTGATTAGCGGCCATCTTTTAAGATTAGTCAATTTAATATCTACCTGTTTTACCGGCTGTAACAGTTCAATTGATGTAGTAACTTTTAGAAGCATCTCCTCGACTCAGTACCAGATGAAAACGTATATCATGTGATGTATGCTACAATGGATGTAAAAAAGTATTGAAGGTTTTTCGAACACAGTTTCCACTTACTTTAGCGTCGGCTCTTCTGTGCGGATTTGTAGTTGATGCTTGTCGGCATTTTCGCAACTATTTCTCCGTTGATAAAATTAATGACATCAGTTGGGCCACATTTCAAGTTAAACGTAATTCGTCTGAATGGTTTATCGTGGTTGTGCATCTCGACTTGTGACTATTATAAACAATAATAAATTTATTTCAACTTAACTAAAAATATATGTTTCTACCTGTGCTGCTGGCAGTTTTCACATTTTTGTCCCAACTAAAGCCACTGAAGTTTGTTTATTGACAAGTTTGATTTAATGTATTTTTATTATTCTTATTCTATCCATTTCTACCTAGGTATGAGTATTGTCCATTTTTTAATTAAAATTGCGCTCAATATCTTCAATTCATTTAACTGAGTTTGTTAACTGCATTGTTCCATCGTTTAAATTTTCTTGTTACTTTCCGTTTCGAGAATAGCGAAAAGAGTTTATCCACGTCGACCGTTAGGAGAATCGCTCCTATCCACTCTCGAAATCAGTTTATTTGTACCATGCCGCCTATTATACCATTTGTACCATTCAAGAATTTTGCTTTCTAAATTTTTGAGACATCTTGAACTTTTCATAGGCCTGTAATTTTATTGGGTCAATGTAATGGCTGTTTGGATTTTCTGCTAAAAACTTGGAAAATTTTGCATCATCACCATTTAAAATTTTATTTACTTGTTTGCACCACCAAAAAAGTGCACATCTCACTGTTACTTGACATACTTGGTCGCC